AAAGTACCCCCTCCCCCAATGTTCAGCAACGAAATTTTGACTAACGTACGAAAAATCCTAGATCCGCCCCTGCGCTACGCAGCAACAATAATCAGTAGGAATAAATTTCTAGAGTGCTGTTAAACTATCTGGCGTAATGCTGATAAAGAATCTGAGTTGCGTCAGTAATAACTCGAGGATTTGTGCTCTCGCGCGGGTGTCCCTCTTTCATCTCGCTTTCTGTATTGATACATGATAAATAGGATACTTTATTTCAAAAGCAATAAGCGTTGGTTTCGAAAGATGTAGATCATTTTTTCTTCTAGTGACTAAGTGTTATGTGTTATGTGTCATGTGAGGATACTAATCAGTTATCATACTATATGGTTCCTCATAAAATAATCACTATATAGCCTACCTGAACAAATCATTTAGGCACATAAACACCAAAAAGCATTTATGCATACTTCTCATGCGAGTAGCTGAATCTACCCCAGATCTAAATTAATAACTAAAATCTGTCTCAACAGTCAGGAATGTCTTGTGTGTAAACCATACTCCTTACACGATTGCTGCCACCATAGCAGACTCAACATGATCGATGGCGGCAAGGGTAAAATATATCCTCAACACACTGGACCTCACTATCGGCAAAATGACACGAAAAATAATTAGACCGTGTTTTGTGGCTTAGGCCATCATTTCAATGATAGCCTTTTCAAAGTCCCAAAGATACATATTGCCCCAAAACAACCTCAATAAAAATTATTTCCGTAACTTGAACCAATCAAAAGTAACTTCAACCAATCAAAAAGAGCGGCGGAAAAGCACATCCCATGTTGAAGGGAGTTTATCTATTGGTCGAGTGTCGAGTGTCGAGTGTCGAGGGTTAAATGTCGAGGGTAAAAAGTCGAGGGTGAGGGTAAAAAGTCGAGGGTGAGGGTAAAAAGTCGAGGGTAAAAAGTCGAGGGTAAAAAGTCGAGGGTGAAAAGTCGAGGGTGAAAAAATCACAAAAAAATACAATATTAAAGTCAGGTAACCGCTTTGGTAATGCCATAACGACGTCTACGTTTCTTCTCGGCAGTATTGTTATATATATGAGCACTTCTAAACCAAATATAATCAAACCTATAATATGCGTTCCACGGGGAGTATCTATTTGGAGCGGGGAGCGGGTAAAAGAAGCGGGTCGCGGGTAAAAGGAGCGGGTAATTAAAAAAAGGAGCGGGTAAAAGGAGCGGGTAATTAAAAAAGGAGCGGGTGATTTTTACAGCGGGTAATTTTGCATGGACATACAGTACTGCTCAGAAGTAACCTAATGAAAAACGCGTTCTGAACGCGTTCGAGAACGCGTTCCGGACGCGTTCTAGAACGCGTTCCAGACGCGTTCGAGAACGCGTTCCAGACGCGTTCGAGAACGCGTTCCAGACGCGTTCTAGAACGCGTTCTAGACGCGTTCGAGAACGCGTTCCAGACGCGTTCACAACGCGTTCCGCGAGACCTTCCGAACGCGTTCTAGAAAGGGTTTCTTTTTCAGAACAATTGAATCGTAGTCAGTTCGACAATACTCGGAAATTATCGCGAATTTCCGATTTATAGCATTCCAGAGAAACACATTTTACAAATATGGCAAAGCTTTCTTTGTATGCAAGAAAAAGAGTGATTTCTTTAAAATCCGCCGAAAATTCAAACAAAAAAATACAAGAAGTTCTACTGGAGGAAGGAATTAACACTTCAATCACAGCAATTTCGCTCTTTCTTTCGCGATATCGAAAGACTGGTCGCCTCAACGATGCTCGTCGAAGTGGCCGAAAGCCGAAATTAAGACAAGAACATGTCGATTACATGGACGAAAAGATGAAGGAAAATGACGAATTGACTTCACGGGAATTGAAAGAAAAGGTTGCCAAAGATTGCGACATGGATGTGTCAACAGTGACAATTCGACGAGCAAGTCCTTAATAATGTTAAACATGTTGTATGAACTGAAATAATATTTTATTTAACCGTACCTGTTTTGGCTTCTTTGGCTTTGATTGTTTCTGAGCGGCTTTCTTGTTGGGTTTTTCCGCTTTGGAGGACATCTTCCGTTTTTTCGGCTCTGGTGACGGAGGTAGATTCTCTTTATCGACAGAATCATCTTCCAAGAGGTCTTGACTCAATACGAAGTCATCCTGGGCTTCTCTCAGAAGGCTAGGGTCATCTGTAAGGCGCAATATTAAAATGTTTCGCGATTAGAATTATAGCCGTTTAATAGAATAACTTTATGGCTAGCGGACAACACCAAAAACTTAAATGTGATGTACGATAACTTACCGTGGAGTTTCGCGACTTGAGCTTCTAGATCTTCTTTCCCGTATTTAACGAGTACCGAGGCACCCTCCACCAGCCGATCGCCCTCTAAAATTTTTATCAACTTGCTCGTTTCAAGAATAGACGTGGTCTGGTCACCACCAAAGAACAGCAACATTCTCTTTGCATTTTTTTGGCGCTGTGATTCACGTAAAGCCATTGTAGTCGATAGATAGATAAAAGATAAAAATCGCTTGACTAAGTCTAAGTTGTGTGTTGTGTTGAACAGCCGATAAAGAATGAGGTATGAATAAACTTGCGCTTGTAACACCATATAGGGTACGTGTAATTCATATTTTTGCAATGAGTCAGGCCGCTATTTAGGGCATGCAGCTTCTGGATGGTTGAATGAAGATGATGTGATATCACTGTAAATTAAGTCACTCTGGAATTCTTGCTTATTTCATCGCTGTAACTGTTTATCTTAGAAATGTTCTAAAATATTAGATTTAGGTCATAGAACGAGTATAGCGATATGATATTGTGTTTTTCGTAGTTTTCGTTTTCACAGTACTGCGTAGGTGTGAGGCTTTAAATCAAAGTTTGACAACATCGCTAACCTTACTGTTTTATTTGTGGGATATGAATAGGCCCTCGAAATTAATAGCAACTAGACCAAGCAGATGTCATTTGGCTTTGCTTTAACTTTAAGCTTTATTATTGGGGAAAAAGAAAGATGTTTATTGTCAATGTTAAAATATTTTTAACTGTTAAGAATATTTTAACATTGACAAACGACATTGTATTAAAAAACAAAACGTGCATAGCAACTGTTATCGCGTCAAACATGCATGCACGCAAAAATAATAACGTGAGTCCAAGCTCAAACTGGACAGGTTAGCCATAGTACTTTGTTTTAGTGTTGATAATTAATTTGAAATTTTCCGTATACCACTCGAAAAGTGAAAATAATTGCTTTAGTAATTCTTACTATTT